GATTGGAAAATTTTATTTATCTCACAAGAAATGTTGTTCAACCTTGAGACTTTGTGCTGATAACGTGCTATAAAACTTAAGAATAAAAGAAGGAGAGAAAAAGATTATAAGACAATAGAGGAACAATATAAGCTATCTTTCTTTCTTTTCAAGTGTATCCAACATTATTATCAGCGCCACTATTTATATGACTACATTGAGGAATACCAAAGAGTATCATAAACATTACATTAAACCTTGAGAATTAATACCCATTAACAAGGAAATAAACCGAGGAGTTATGGTCATCTATTTGACCACATTATCAACAACATTACTACCAATAAAAGATGAAATTAACCTAGAGTTATGGTCATCCATTTAATTACATTATCAACAACAATACTGCTCATAAAGAAAGAAATTAACCAAGGAGTTATAATCATCCAATTAAACACTAAAATGATTTACAACATTGGTCATATAATTTTTTCATTACCCTTAGTTTTCAAGTTCTAGAAAAAACTAAAATTTAGACCAAATTCGAACCAGATTCTAAATAGTTGGGAACTTTTAGAAATTCACAAATTTCTCAAATTTATATATTATAAAAACAATCATTATTTATAGTCTTGAACTAAATTTTAATATTTTATACAAAATATATATCGTTATATATATTTTTATCCAAGCTTACTTTGAAAAGTCACTTTCAATTACAAATAATAATAATAATAATTTTTCCTCTATAAATCAATGGTACTGTTGTAAATCCATTGTATAGTATATGTGGATTACCCATTAGATTTATCCACTATTAAATGGGTTCATGTATAGGTGCTTCCAAGGTGATAAGAACTTCCAAGATAACTATGTATCTATTAATTACATGACTTTTGGAGTGATATCTCAACACTATAAATAGAGAATCACTCACAATTCGGTAGACATACTTGAATAAGAAAAATTCTCTCCTCTATCTTATATTTCTTGTCTTTTTCTTATATTCTGAGCTCTCTTTACAATACGTTACCAGCACGAAGTCGCTACTTGCAAAGGTATTATATAAATATTTTTATTTAATTCACATATTCTCTCATAATTTCATTATGTCGAATATATCCAAATTTGAGTTTATGGCATCAGATATTTCTGAAAAGAATTATCTTTCATGGGTGCTCGATGCTGAGATTCACTTGGCTGTAAAGGTCTTGATGCCACTATTATTAAGGGAAATGAAGCATCGAGTCAAAATAAGACGAAGGCTATGATTTTCCTTCATCATCATCTTGATGAGGCCCTGAAGATTAAATATTTGACGGTAAAAGATCCACTTGAATTGTGGACTGATTTAAAGGAGAAATATGACCACCTAAAGACAACAGTGTTGCCAAGAGCTTGTTATGAGTGGATGCATTTACGGTTTTAAGATTTTAAGATCATAATTGAATACAACTCTGTTGTATTCAGGATAACCTCCCAGTTAAAATTATTTCGGGAGGCTATAAAAGATGAGGACATGTTGAAAAAAACACTTACTACTTTCAATGCATCAAATGTGATATTGCAGCAGCAACATCGTGAAAAGGGTTTTCAGAAATATTCTGAACTAATCTCATGTCTTTTGGTGGCTGAGCAACATAATGCTCTTTTAATGAAAAATCATGAAACTCGTCCCACTGGAGCTGCTCCATTATCGGAAGCAAATGTGGTGGGAGCACTGATCAATCTGAAGTAAAAAGAGATGACCATCGGAGCTATAATAATGCGCGGGGACGTGACAAAGATAAGAGATGATACACTAATCGTCGAGGTGGTGTTCATAATAAAAGGGAAAACAACATGAGTTCTCAAAATAACCCCTCAAAAAGTAATTGTCGTTGTTGTGGCATGAAAGACCATTGGAATAATGAATGTCGCACACATGAGCATTTTGTAAGGCTCTATCAAAATTTCTTTAAAAAGAAAGGAAATAAAAGTGGTTTTTCCTCTGCCAATTCTCGAGCTAAGTTAAATATGACTCTTAAAGATGATAAGCCGGGAACATCTCAGAAATATGATAAGGATGTTGTAGCAAATTTGACTTTAAAGGATGATGTTTTTGATGGCCTTGGTGACATTACTCATATGGAAGTTGATGACTTCTTTGAAGATCGAAACTGATGTTTGATTTTTTAGCTGGGGAATGAAGTTTGTTAATATTTTACATAATATTTTACTTATGTGTTTTTAATTATTATGTTATTCATGTTGAAATATTTAAATTTCTGTTGTTAATTTTGTTTCTTCCTTCTTTTAATGTATTTTATTTTAATGAAAATTAATAGAATTCCCCATTTTCAGTTGGATTCAAGATGAGTAATAGAAATGTATGCCTTCTTGATAGTGCTACAACGCATACAATATTAAAAGAAAAGAAATACTTTTCTAATTTGGTCATGAAAATGGCATATGTCAACACAATATCAGGTTGTACAAAATTAATTGAGGGCTCTGAAAGAGCGACCTTATTACTACCTCGAGGGACAATATTAAGCATTGATAATGCATTATATTGTAGTAAGTCTTAAAGAAACTTATTAAGTTTCAAAGTTATTCACCAAAATGGATATCATGTTGAGACGGCTAATGATGGAAAGGTTGAATACCTTTACATTACTACAATTAATGTTGAGAAGAAAATTGTGCATGAAAAATTATTTGCACTTTCTTATGGGTTGTACTATACAAGTATAAGTACAGTTGAATCACATGCAGTAGTAAACAAAATGTTTACTAATTTTAATGATTTTATCATTTGGCAAGACCGGTTGGTCCATCCAGGATTTAATATGATGCGCAAAATCCTTGAGAATTCACATGGGCACACCTTAAAGAGCCCAAATATCCTTCAATCAAAGGAATTCTCTTGTGCTGCTTGTTCTCAAGAAAAGTTGATCATTAAACCATCAACAGTTAAGGTTGGAATTGAATCCCCTGCGTTTCTGGAACGTATACAGGGTGATATATGTGGACCAATTCAACCTGCATATGGACCCTTTAAATATTATATGGTCTTGATAGATGCTTCTACAATATGGTCACATGTGTGTTTATTACCAACTCGCAACATGGCTTTTGCGAGATTGTTGGCTCAAATAATAAGATTCACAATTTTTAGACTATACAATAAAGACAACCCGTCTAGATAATGTTGGTGAGTTTACATCTCAAGCATTTAATGATTATTGTATGTCTACTGGTATAACAGTTGAACATCAAGTTGTGCATGTTCACACTCAAAACGGTCTAGCAGAATCATTGATTAAACGTTTGCAATTGATAGTTAGACCATTACTAATGAGAACAAAGTTATATGTGTGTATGTGGGGGCATTCTATTTTGCATCCAGCAGCACTTGTGCGCATAAGGACGACCAATATCATGAATTCTCCACATTACAATTGACTTTGGTCAAGAGCCAAACATTTCCCATCTTAGAATTTTTGGATGTGCGGTGTATGTCCCAATTGCTCCACCACAACGCACAAAGATGGAGCCCCAAAGAAGGTTGGGGATATATGTTGGGTATGAATCTCCTTCAATCATGAAATATTGGAGCCTATGACTGGAGATTTATTTAAGGCAAGATTTGCTGATTGTCATTTTGATGAATTAGTATACCCAACATTAGGGGGAGAACATAAGTCGTTGGGAAAAGAGATAGATTGAAATTCATCATCTCTATCTCATCTGGATCCTCGAACAAACCAATGTGAGCAAGAAGTTCAAAGAATAATTTATTTGCAGAACATTGCAAATCAGCTACCAAATGTATTTACTAATCTTCCAAGGATTACTAAATCGCATATTCCAGCTGTTAATGCTCCAGTTTGAGTTGATATCCCGACGGGACAAATTGTTAAGGCAAATGAGTCTAGATCACATTTGAAGCGTGGTAGACCAATTAATTTCAAGGATAAAAATCCTCGAAAGAATAAAGGAATAAATGATCAAGATGATCACGGGTTGAAAGAAATTTCTCAAGATGAGACCCAAGTCATAACACATGATGATGAGGAGGTTCGAACTTCTGAAAACAATGAAATTTCAATGAATTATGTCTCAACGAGAAAGTTGTGGAACCGAAATAATGTTGTGATTGACAACATATTTGCCTATAATGTTGCTATTGACATAATGCAACAAGATGAAGATTTTGAGTCAAGTTCACGAATGTAGAAAGAGAAATGATTGGCCAAAATGGAAGAATGCAATTCAAGTTGAATTGGCTTTACTAGAAAAATGTGAAGTTTTCGAACCAATAATCTGAACACCTGAAGGTATCAAGCCAGTGGGGTACAAATGAGTTTTTATACGAAAAAAATGAGAAAGGTGAAGTCGTGAGATATAAGGCCCGACTCGTTGCTCAAAGTTTTCTCAAAGACCTGTCATTGATTATATGGAGACATATTCTCCAGTGGTAGATGCAATCACCTTCAGTATCTCATAAATCTGTCAGTTTATGAAAAACTTGAAATGCGTCTAATGGACGTTGTCACAACCTATCTATGTAGCTCATTGGACCACAACATTTTCATGAAAATTTCTCAAGCATTCAAAGTGCCTGAAGCATACAAACATTCAAGAGAAACTTGTTCAATAAAGCTTTAGAAATCTCTGTATGGATTGAAACAATCATGAAGGATGTGGTACAATCGTCTGAGTGGATATTTGTTAAAGAAAGGGTACAAAATGACTCGATTTATCTCTACATTTTCATTAAATGGCCGGGGTCTGAATTTGTTATAATAGCTGTGTATGTTAATGATTTGAATATCATTGAAACTCGTAAAGAGCTTTTACAAGCTGTTGAGTGTCTAAAAAAAGAATTTGAAATGAAAGATCTTGGCAAGACAAAATTTTATCTTGCCCTACAGATTGAGAATTTGTCAAATAGAATACTTGTTCATCAATCAACGCACACAGAAAAGATACTAAAACGTTTTTACATGGATAACTCACATCTATTGAGTACTCCAATGGTGGTAAGATCGCTTGACATCAATACAAATACATTTCGACCTGAAGAGAATGATGAAGAGCTTCTTGGTGATGAAACTCCTTACCTTAGTGCAATCGGAGCACTAATGTACTTTGCTAACTATACTCGACCAGATATCTGTTTTGCAGTACGTCTACTGACAAGATTCAGTTCCTCCCCAACAAAAAGACATTGGAATGGTGTTAAACACATACTTCGATATTTTCGGGGGACCATGGACATGAGTTTATTCAATTCCAATGAATCCCAAGTCAGAACTGATTGGTTACGCAGATGCAGGGTATTTATCTAATTCGCATAAAGCTCGATCACAAACAGGCTATTTGTTTACATGTGGAGACACGACAATATCTTGGCGATCAATGAAGCAAACATTGGTAGCCACTTCTTCAAATCATGCAGAAATAATAGTCATCCATGAAGCAAGTCGAGAGTGCATCTAGTTGAGATCAATGACCCATCATATTCAGAAAATGTGTGGTTTTCCTTTGAAAAAGAATATGCCAACCACAATGTACGAAGATTATGCTGCATGTATAGCTCAATTGAAAGGAGGATACATCAAAGGAGACCAGTCAAAACATATTTCACCAAAGTTCTTTGTGACGCATGATCTTCAACAAAATGGTGAGATAGAAGTTCAACAAATTTGTTCAAGTGATAATCATGCTGATTTATTCACTAAGGCATTGCCAACATGAACGTTTGAGAAGTTGAGATACAAGATTGGGATTCGCCATTTCCGCGATATCAAGTAAAGTTTTCATTAGGGGGAGCGAAATACACGTTGTACTTTTTTCCTTAACTATGGTTTTGTCCCAAGTTGGGTTTTCCATGTAAGGTTTTTAACGAGGCAACATTCAAAGCGTATCATGAGATATGTGTACTCTTTTTCCTTCACTAGGCTTTTTTCCACTGATTTTTCCTAATAAGGTTTTAACGAGGCACAAAATCTATGAATATCTAAGAGGGAGTATTGTAAATCCATTGTATAGTATATGTGGATTATCCATTAGATTTATCCACTATTAAATGAGTTCATGTATAGGTGCTTCCAAGGTGATAAAAACTTCCAAGATAACTATGTATCTATTAATTAGATGACTTTTGGAGTGATATCTCAACACTATAAATAAAAAATCACTCACCATTTGGAAGACAGACTTGAATAAGAAAAATTTTCCCCTCTATCTTATACTTTTTGTTTTTTTTTATATTCTGAGCTTTCTTTACGATATGTACTTCCTTTTTATTTTTCTCTTTTTACAAATTCATATTAATTCTATTTATTATCATGACTTTTTTCGGAATATTTTCATTAGAATAATCTAATTCAAATTACTCATAATTTTAATAATTTTTAAAATTAATAGGTATTTAATAAAAGTCGAATATTAATCCCAAAAACTTTAGCCAAAAATGACTTTGGCCAAAAATAAATGAAAAATTGTGATTGCTTCATTCTGCTATTACTTAAATAGTGTTCTTTTAAAGGCATTAATATTTTACTTCGCGTTCATCAGATTTGTTCTGCTCTGGTTATCTATGTATGTATCTCTCCTTCATCTTTTAGGTTTACTGTCTCTCGGTGCTTTTCGTTTGATCTCGACTTGTGTTTCTTGTTTAATCTTGCTCGAATTTATTTCATTTCTGTGCAATTTCGCCTCTTCGGATGTATATCTGTTCATTTTGCGTTTGTTTGAACTGAATTTGGGGCTGTTTGGTCCGAAGATTTGTAATTTTGAGGCCCTTAACTTTTTTGGGGCTAAAGCAGTTGCTTTAGTGGCTTTAGGGTTGAGCCGCCCTTGGTAGTGTTTTGATTTGAGATTCTTGGAACTCTATTCTGTCAATGTTGCATGTTTCCATGCTTTTGAATTTTTATTACTTCTCTCCATTAGTCAGTTGTTCTCCTTCGACTTAACAAACCATTCCCTTTTATATGCAAAGATTCTTTCCATTAGCCAGTTGTTCGGCTTCGGTTTAACGGACCGTTCCATTTTATATGCAAATAAAATGGTAATTTGTGTTCTTTACAGTGTTGTCTAAGGCATTCTTAAGCCTTGAACCAAGGGTCGAAAGGTGTTGATCGCTTCACCTAGCTTAATGTATGTTTCAGTATCGCCATCAGGATTCTAAAGCATACTTTTACTTGCCAATGAGCCTCTTTAGACACTAAACAATTGATATATCACTTCGTCGTAAATTTTTCTTTTTCGATTTCTTTGTTCATATATTTATTATTCATGCTTATAATTATTAGTCTTGGACTAAACAGATAGATATTTGTATGTTTTCTCCCGTTGTCTCTTTTCATTAAGCCCCACAATTTATTTGCGGTTAAAAAACCCTAACGGACCTTAGAGCTTTTTTGTGATTTTTGCTTCTGATAACATGGGTTCTTTTAAGTCTGATTTGCTTCCATTTTGTTTCTAATGAAGTTGTTTGGTGTATTTGGAAACCAAAAGTTGTGAGGGAACCCACCTGGCGCTCAAGTAACTATATTCAATTCATTTGGTCATTATTGTATGAAACCATTTTAAGAGCTGGAGAAGAATTTTGTGGAAAAATATTAGAGTATCGTATGTTTATGTAGGGGTGGATGCATTTTTATCTGCAGCGGGTGTAAGCACACACAGTCCATATATATCTTGCAAAAAATATGCCTCTCAAAAAAAAATGCACTGCATAGAGTTTTTATAATTATATACCTATACAAATTCTTGCCAATTTTCACAAAGGAGTAGTGGTTGGACTAATATGCTGCGCCTGTTAATTCAACTTCTAGAATTGACCTAAGTTTATATACGAGTTCTGGACACTTTTCTTGTCGATCTTTTTTAGATATCGAAGTTGACGAAAGGCCTATATCCCAGAAAAATTAGCCTTCTTCAGTTAGTGTGGTTCTTCATTCAAATGGATGAAATGAAGATACTAATGCTTCAAACTACCTAAACTTCATTTTAGTTGCATTTGCTTGTCCTTTGTCACAATAGAAAGGTGTGAGATATTCCTACTAAGTTATATAGATGACTTTTGTTATGTGCCACTGTGCTAGTGTTTGATCCTTTTTACCTAATTAATGAGGTAAGATTCATCATCTGAATATTTTTTATGTTACCTTGGTGTTGGACTCTCTTCTTTCCTGTACTATAAAACTTGTATTACACTCAGTAGCGTAATTGCCATACTGTATGCAATTCATTCCTTGCACTTCTATATGAGCCAAGATTATGACTATGATTTCATCAGCTGAGTATTTTTGATGTTACCTTATCATTGGACTCACTTCTCTTCTGTTCTTCAAAACTTATATTACTCTCAGTAGCATAATTGCCAATTTGTATGTGATTCATTTCCTTGCACTTTTATGTGAGCCTCCAAAGATGCATAGATTATGACCTATCTACTTAGTTACTTAGCAGAGCCTATCCTACGATTCGTGTTTGCACCCTAGAATTCTTGTGTGATTTGGCAATTTTATCTGGAAATGTGCAGTCACTTTAAGATAACAAAAATTGTGTCTCAATTTGAAAAAAGTTAGGTTCAATTATATGAATCTTCACTATGTAATACAGTAGATGATAGTGGGGACTAACAACAACAGCATACCAGTGTAGTTCCACAAGTTGGGTTTGGGGAGGGTAGAGTGTACAAAATCTTACCTCTACCTCATGGAGGTAGAGAAACTGTTTCCAAAAGACCCTCGGATCAAGTGCAACTGAAAATGGGCACTAAGTGCACAATGATTCCTGATTAGACAACAAGGTTGACCTGAGTTTATATATGAGTTATGGACACTTCTCTTCTCCATCTTCCTATGATATTGAAGTTGAAGAAAGGCCTATATCCCAGAAAAATTAGCCTTCAACAATTAGTGTGACTTCTTCATTCAACTGGATGAAATGAAAATACTGATGCCTCAACTTACAGTTAACTTCATTTTAGTTGCATTTTCTTGTCCTTTGTCACAATAGAAAGATGTGAGGTATATTATGTTACCTTAGTGTTGGACTCACTTTCACTAATGAGCTATGATTTCATCATCTGAGTATTTATTATGTTACCTTAGTGTTGGACTCACTTTTCTGTTCTACAAAACTTGTATTACACTCAGTAGCGTAATTGCCTTACTGTATGTGATTCATTTCCTTGCACTTCTATATGAGCCTCCAAGATTATGAATAAGATTTCATAAGCTGAATATTTTGATATTACCTTATCATTGGACTCACTTTTCTTCTGTTCTTCACAACTTGTATTGCTCTCAGTAGCATAATTGCCAATCTATGTGTGATTGATTTCCTTTCACTTTTATGTGAGCCTCTAAAGATGCATAGATTATGACCTATCTACTTGGTTACGAAGAAGATCCTGTCCTACGATTTGAGTTTATGCCCTAGAATTCTTGTATGATTTGGCAATTTATCAAAAAAATGTGCAGTTACTTTAAGACAACAACAACAATTGTGTCTCAATTTGAAACAAGTTAGGGTCAATTAAATGAATCTTCACTATGCAATAGGGTAGATGATAGTGGGGGCTAACAACATTAACATACCCAGTGTAATCCCACAAGTGGGGTTTGGGGAGGGTAAATTGTATGCAGACCTTACCGCTACCTCAGGGAGGTAGAGAGACCATCTCCGAAACACCCTTGCCTCAAGTGCAACTAAAAATGGGCACTAAATACACAGTAAAATCCTGATTAGACAACTACAGTCTATATGTTGTAGATTTTTAATTAAATTTAGTGAGCAACACCAATTATATTATTGATCTTCTTAGTTTATTTAAAGAGACTTGTTTAGCAAAAGACTATTAGTGTTAAACCATGGTGTTCATTTGTGGACTGTTTGCAGGCTATAGTAATTTCACTTTCATGGGGACTGAGGATCCAAACAACCTTCCTGCATCTGATAATCTTGAAAGAGGAATTGAAAATATTGAAGTTGGTGCAAATGGAGACACTTCCAAAACCACTAATTTCGAAGTCAGTGAAAGCAACGAACCTTTACGTGAAAGTGATAGTGACATGGATTTGGAGAGTGACCCTGGCTCACAAGTTGGTGTTGACTTGACTGGAACACCATCACAAGTTTGTGTTGAGTTGGCAGAAACAGTTGGGATAACAGAAGAAGTAACTATGGTCGACTCTGTAATACATGCTGAGAATGGACTTCTAAGTTTGCCAGACGCAAACTATAGTAGTAATCAGACAGAGGATCAAGATCATGTCAGCACTCAGGAGATTGGTGGTGTCAAATGTATGTTGTTTGTTTGATCTTTTCTGGTTTACTTTTGCCCAATGCGTGTTTTATGTCTTGTAATTCCTTATAATTGGTCTTGGCTTTTGTAAGCAATGGTATCTTTATGCCTATACTCATTGTTGAGTTTGCATTTTTTTATTAGTTTCTTTTACGCTTTGTCTCTAGTGGTTGAGATAAATTTCTCCAAATATTGACTTTCTTTGGCAGGCTTATCTGGAGTTAAGAGACCTCGAGCAACTCTTGATGTTGAGCAACCGTCAGTGCATGTTGTTTATGATTCTTTAACAAGGTTTGCTGAAAGTTCTCATGTTCTATTACATTCTTCCATTGCCACATTAAGATTATGTTTATTTTGGAGTGACAAGGGGAAGTACATGAGGAGGGATAAGGATCATTTCTCATGTTTGGTTCAAACTCAATGAGGATTGGAGGGGAATTTGTACCCCTAGATGTCAACTTTTCCCACCTGTTTAAAATTGAATAAGAGGAAGTACATCTCATATACTTTCTGTTCCTATTATGAGAAGAGATTAAACTGTCACATAAAGGAGTAAATCAATCATCCTCTTCAACACTTCTCTTTCCCTTTTGTTGAACCAAATGTAGAAGTCGTGATCCATTTATATGATTAAACGTATCTTGCTAGTAAAAATGTCATCTTTGCATTTCGTGATCCTGACGGGTTCACTTATGTTTCCAGAGAGAGTAGAAAGATGCTTGAGGGGCTGCTACAACAATGGTCAGAGTGGCATGCCAAACATTGTTCTTCAGCACAGGTAAGCCTTTCATCTTCTTCTTCTTATTAATTTTGATAACAGTGGTGTCTGGTCTAGCTAGTACGTACCTCAACTATTCTCCGGGTTCGTGCTATTTTCCACTAGTACATGGTACGCGCACCTCGATTATTCCCTTTCTTCACTGAGATTTGATTCACCTTTGAAGAACAACATGGTCTTTAAGTTTTGCACCACTTCATTGACTTCTAGGCCACTTTCTTGGGTGCTCATGTAGGCCTTTCATCTTTGATTGTCAATTTTAGAGCTGAAAGGGAATGATACTTTGAAACGAAAAATTGGTCAAAAAAAATAAGGCAATTCCCTTGCTGTAAGAATTTGTATTACTCAAATTTTGACCTGGTTGCAACTCATGTACCAATCATTTTGTTGCAAGTGGAAATTATGTTTTTAGTAATTTGATTTCAAAAAGCTGTGAGTAAGGTCACCATTCCAGCATATGAAAACTTTTTTTGCTGTCCATGAGGATATTACCACAATATTTTTTGCTGTCCATGAGGATATTCTTGCCACAATTTCTGTGTTAGAGAGGCTGCCATAGCAGGATAGTGAGTTTCTTTGTGGCTACGGGTTCCCCAGATATATGAAAGGATGTTCTCCATGTTCAATACCCGACACCTGTTCTATATTAGTCGTCACTGCACTAGACACACCTCTAAAGTAGATACAGCTTTTATTTTAGGTTATGTTGAAGTCCTGAAGCTTGAGAAAACATGGTTAACTTGTCAAAGAGCAGTTGAATAGTTCATCACCCTAACAAAAAGTAGTAAGTCATCTACTTAAGAGAGATGAGTAAGTTTTAACTTAGGGCACATAGGATGGTATTTAGTATTGCATGTCCTCAGCTAGGGTTTCTGTTGACATATTCCATGGCTATGGCAAGCAGATAGGGAGACATAGGATCTCCTTGTCTCAGTCCCTTTGCTGCGTAAAATGCTCAATGGTACTCGATGGTGATTGAATAACTGACTGTCCTGTCAAAGTGCATTAACATTATTTAAGTAATGATTTTTCTTGGAGAACCTAGTCCCACCATAATTTGTTCTGTGTAAACCCATTCCGCTGAATTATAGGCTTTTTGAAGATCCACTTTAAACATACATCTAGGTGAAATATGCTTTCTAGTGTAATGCTTAAGCAGTTCCATGAGCCATGATTATGTATATCTGCTATTTCCTCCTTGAATGAACCCTGCCTGATTCTCACTTACAATGTGACGCATAATGTTTTCATCCTAGCAGTTAACACCTTGGAAATAATCTTGTACAAAACCGTACAACAGATTATTGGCCTGTACTCTTTGATGCTACTAGGTGGTGCAATTAATTTCCTTCTACATACTATTATGAAGGAAGAAACCCTTAACAGAAGCGCACACATTAATCTTAATTCTTGCCAAGATTTCTCGAGGAACAAAGCACTGTACCCATCAATTCCTTGTGCATTGTCATCCCCTATGGAGCATAGACCATCATATATTTCCTGATCAGTGATATTCCGGATTCAGTCTTACATGTCATAATTATTCCTTACTTCAGCCAAGGTGATAACGATCATAGAAGCATATTGTAGTAGTAATATAAGGTCAGGGACTAATGAGATAACCAAAAGAGCAATGGTTTGTTAGAGTACAACACGTCTGCCACTGCTGGTGGATTACACTTGTTAGATATTAAGTTAAGGGACAAAGGTGCAGTAGAAAAAATGTGCTGGGACTTGATTCACAAATAAGGAAGGCCCTGGATTAGATGGATTCGTTCAACATGTATCCAACGGAGGCCACTTGAGCAGATTTCCGAACCCCAGCCAGTCAGGTGGATGGTGAGGAAAATTCTGGCAACAAGAAAAGTACAAGAGTAGTGCTGAGTGAAATTCATGAGCTCTCCTCCAATAACAAGAGAGAGCAAACAAATTCACTCTATGGGTATACAGGCATGGTCATCTTAATAATGTTAATAGGTTATTAAGATGAGGAGCAAATCTTGATCCAAATTTGTGATGTGTGACACTAAATTGGAAACTGAAGAAGCATTTATTCATTGAGTGCTCATTTGCCAGGGAGGATTTGGAAGATATTAGTGAAGTGGCTGCAACGTACATATAATGATACACTTGACAGCCTTCAATTGCAATAGAAGATAATCACAAAGACTAGAGCCTCATTTGTTCTCATTAAAGATTAAGACATCTGAATTTGAGTCCACATTTGAATGATTAAGATGTTGTCCCTAGATTTTACATTGGATGATTAATATGTTTATTTTTCAACATCTGAATGTACATAATTTATTTATTTGTAAGCATAGTATATATACAATTCAACTAAAGTAACTACATATTAGAAAAATATAAATTTGATACAATAAAAACATTTTTTGATTAAACAAATGACACTTTTATATTTGCTAGTGATAGTGGAGATAGTTTGTAGTGGTAACAATTGATATTAGTAGCTAGGAATGGTGTTGGTGATAGTTGGGACCGGCATGCATGAGGTGGCAGTTGGTGTTAGGACTGGCGTGATGGTGGCAGTTGGTGTTAGGACTGGCGTGATGGTGGCAGTTGGTAGTGATGGTGGTGGTTGTGATGATAAAGTTGATTGATGTTAGTAGTTGACAATGTTGATGATGGTGGTTGAAGAATGTGTGATGTGTTGGTGGTGCTAATTGTGATGGTGGAGGTGGTGATGACTATGGCGACATTGGTGGTGGTGATATAATAATAATAGTAGATGTGGTAGGTGGTAGTGACTGACAGTAGTGGTTGACAATGTGGTTGGTGGTGGTGGCATGTGGTGGCAGCGGCATTGGGTATAATTAAAATGATGGAGGTGGTAGGTGTGGTAGGTCTAACAGTAATGGTTGGCAATGGTGGTGGTTGTGATGACAAAGCTTGGTTAGTAATGGTGACTGCTGATTGTTGATACCTCTTAATGATACTAAGGCCTCAGTTGTTTGCATATAATGAATGTCATAATCTTTAATCATTCAGATCTCAATCATTACAACCTACGTACTCCTTGTGAGAAATATACAAAGTTACCAGTTCCAAAAATAATTAATCTCAAGTGATTTAAATTGCTGAATATTCCTAAATCTTGTGTTCCTCCTTTGTAGCCTACAACAATTTGAATCCTACCTTAAGTATTCATATTAAAAAGAAGAAGATAAATCTACCTAAGTGTTGAGAATAGTTTGCAAAAGTCAAACTAAATTGTCTTATGGTGTAATCAATTATACTCAAATGATACTATCTCCTTAATTGATGTACTAGACTCAATTTAGTTAAAGATAGTAGAATTTGAAGTACATGTTGTAAATACTGATTAGTGTACTGTCTTTTGAGGAATAGACGAAGTTACCATTTTCAAAAAAAAAATAAGGATATAGCTTTTTTGTACTTATTCCCACCTTGTTGATTAAATAATACAAACAAGACTCTAAATTACAAATTGAAATATTCAAATAAATACTGCCTTAGATAAGTTCATGTATCATCTCTTTCTTTCTTTTTTGGTCCGAAGAGATTATCTCATTAAGTAATATAAGACCAATTCCATTAATTTCTTCTTGTTAAGTTAAACATTTGGGAACTAATTAATTATATTAGAATTGTTAGATTAAAAAAACTAATATTCGGAATGGACACCACATTTTTCAAGAGATCATCTCATCAAGTAATAAGACCATTTCCATTAATTTTCTTCTTGTATAAGTCAACATTTGGGAATTAATTAATCATATTAGAATTGTTAGATTAAAAAATTCGGAATGGCCACCATATTTTTCTATTTGGAACTTCCATATATAAAATAATTTAGTTAATTTAATTAAAGAAAGAGTTGATGTGAATTAACAAAATTGTAATTGACTTTAAAGTTTTAAATATTAGAGCTTTTATTGTTAGTTCGAATAAGGAAAGACTTGAGAATCAAAATTTTAGTCAATTTTAAAGTCTTAGATATTAGGACTTCTTATATTTTACAAATAAGTAAAGATTTAATAGCTATAGCTTTTGATTAATTTTAAAGTCCTAAATCAGGTGGCGGATCCAAGAATTTTGTTCGAGGGGTTTGAAGTTTAAGAAATAGCTCAGGTGGACAGTGGTAATGTAAGTGTGCGGTGAACGTAGTAACCCGGGCATGCTCTTTGTACAAGAAACGTTCATTGCTTGATAAAAGTAAACACCAAATTATTCGAAGATACTGAAAACAAAGCTACGTTGATAAAAAAAATTGTATTACATAATGTAATTCCTAAAACACGTGAAATTAAAGGATGCAAAAGGAAGCGAGACGGGAAAGACCTTAACCCGCTAAATTTAGCTTACCTTATCATACCGCATTAAGCATTTCTTTCTACTTTTACCCTGCTCCATTGAACATTCTTAAAATTTCTCGTGTTTTTATACTTCTATTTTGTAATGTTTTACTTTATTTTGCACTTCTTAAAAATTTGAGCCAAATTCCATAGCATTAGAAAGGTTTAAAAAAAAAGGACTTGCTGCGCATGGGATCGAACCCATGACGTAAGGGAAATTCTTGAACCCCTTATCCACTAAGCTAAGCCTCTCACTTGTTTTCAGAGGGATCATTTTAATATATGTACTCATTAAATCAGAATTTGGCTTTATATCTATAGTGTAATTCTTCAACGATGGGGGCACCACCTAGATCCGCCCCTGTCCTCAATATAAGGATAATAATAACATGACAATTATTTGAGAAAATTGTAAATGACAGTTTTTTCTATTGAACAATTTTAATTATGGACTAAAGTTAAATCAACATTTCTAAGGACCTTCGTGCTTTTAATATAATCTACCTGAGTCTGAATGGTGTCAAGATTCTACTACAGATCTGATTCATTGAGATCTTTTTCACATCCATTAAGATGTTTTTATTAAAAAATTAACAAATGGACTTAATGGAATGAATCTTAATCATTAAGATTTAGAAGTAAAAAATAAATGCAATTAATGGGCAGAATATGAATGATTAAGATTCAAACCTCCATTAAGTGCAATTAAATGAGGCCTAAGTGCTTAAATCTGAATGTAAACAAATGCACTCAAACACGAAGATCTGAACCATAAGATAGATTAAGATATCCATCAAGGGCAAATAAACGCTCAAGTTCTTAAACTAGTTTTCATAGGCACCATTCAATCTATTTGGTCCGAAAGACACACGAGTCTTTGAGTGGAGGAATAGAGAACCAACAAGTTTAGCAAGAGAAATTGCATGTGTTTTGAAATGTTTGAGCATTATTAAAGCTTAGGATTATGCTTCACCGATGCTATTTTTTGATGTTATAAGTTAGTTGAAAGATTATGGAGGCTGTGTGATTGACATTATGAGTTCGCAAGACTCTGTAGCCTTGTTATTTACTGATTGGCTACTTGGTGATTAATACGACAATTAGTTACCAAAAAATATATTTTAACCTAGTTGGATCAAGGGTGGATGTCTTTTATTCTTTTCCATTGAATAAAAACTAATAAGTAATTACCTGGTGGGGGGCAGATAGGCAAAGTTAAGAGAATGTTATCCACTGTCTGGATTTTGCACCAAGGTGGAAATTAGTTTGGCATGGGCAGATAGCCAAAGTTAAGAGAATGTCATCCACTGTCCAGATTTTGCACCAAGGTGGAAATTAGTTTGGCATGTTTAATGCACAAGTTAAACTGGTTTAACATTGATGTTTGCTATTCTGGCATTATTTTACTCTCTTTGCTATTCCTAATACTTTTTACTATATTATGTTGGTGGAATATCTGACGGTGAGTTTAACCTTTTGTGTAGTGCTTATTGGGGTTTTTCTAGTAATCTTCAGTGTCTCTGTAGGTTTCATCCTGAGAGTGCCGAGTCTTGTTTCTTTGATTTCAGGATTCAAGAGAACTGTTAGAATCTGGTGAAGAGACATATTTCCCTGCTCTTCATGTTGGTTTGGAGAAACCTTCTGCAGTGGTATATTTCTATCTCTGCCGCATGTACAAATTTGAATTGTCTGTTGAGCTATTGTTACCGTTTTATTTGAGGATGTTTTTAGTTAAATAAGTAAACAAAAGACATTTGCCTCCACTAATTTTGCACTGTTTTTTTGCTTAATGCGTAAAAGTTGACTCTTATTTTGCCAGCCACCATGGGTTCCTTGAATAGCAAATCAGACTGATTTGATTTTGCAAATTGCATCTTCATTGTTAGTGAGTTGATGATCAGGGAAGAAGTTTGTAAACCCCCCCCCCCCCCCCCCCCAACCCAAAAAAAAAAGAAGACCCCAGAAGATCTAGAATTGGCTTGATGAGGATCAGTTGATCTCTGGGTTAAATTGGAATCATTCAGTATTTTGGTTAGCATCTATATTTTAAAATTAAGAACGTTGCAATATTATCTGGAATATGGTAAGTCTATAACCATAGTAATCTGTGATAGCAAATGTTACGACTTCATAGTTGACCATGTAAAAATGACCTTTATTTTGGATCACATAATTCGCTGTGTTTTCTTACAAATAACTACCTTTATTGTTAACGGCTCGTTTTGGTGCTGAAGCTAAGGGCAAAACAGTCTGAGCACTTCCCATTGCTTAAATATGTAATTATCAATGCTGGGCTTGTGTCTTAAAATTCTATACGGTATTAAGTGTATAGATCATATTCATAAAATTGTGGGCCTGTTCAAATGCTCAATCCTAAAATTAATGCTCTTAACAGTTTCAAAAAAATAAAATAAAATTTATGCTGTTAATAGTTGCTTTCGAATTATGGTGTAAATTCATGGTTGTCTGTAAGTGAAACAAATTTCCTGTAGGTATTGTTAATTATGCAATACTATCAAATTCTTATCTGACCTCTGATGGTGGGCAGGTGAGCATTTCTGTTATTGAATACAGTGTGGTATATCTGCCATACTGCTCAAATTGAGAAGAGTAGTATTGTACTTTGACTATCTTGGCTGCGTAGCATTGACTTTTTTATTAATAGGCTAAAAAGTAATATTTTCTGTTAGACATATTGGGTGGACAAACAAGCAAGTAACAACAAGAGCGAGTTTATTCCATTGGACGGCAACTCTATTCCTCTTTATGATCGTGGATATTCATTTGCTTTGACTGCAACAGATAGTTCAACCAATGTGGAAAGGTAAGTTACAGTCTCAGTCTTCGCAGGCAGCAAGTTCATTCCTAGAACATGTGTCTTATATTCTTTCAGTTGTTAGTTTGAAGTACTGTATGGGAGAGGAACACTGCAGCCAGGGTGCTCATGTTGTTTAAAAATACGGATATAAAGGCTTATACACACAAATTGTTGACTGTAACTGGTAAAATTCAAATATTTTCCTTTTTTTAAAAAAAGGTAAATGATTTTATTAACAATGGGAATGAAAACTCAATATACAAGAGGTAAACCCAAAAAGTAGAGATTTTACTTTAAAAAACGTTTCTCTACAAAAGAGACCCCCAATCATCTATACAAGAAGGATTGTTAATGGCAGTAGTTTTCCTCGCCAGTATAGAGATTATGCCCATAAATATCCTTGTTCGCAAATTTGATGGCACAGTTGTGTCCTTTGATGATCTGTGTTCTCTGCTTATGTTCTTAATTGTCAAGGAAAACTTGAAAAAGCAATACAAATGAAGGAAACATGTAGGGTACTGTGAGGAGATCCTTGACCTGATATTTGATGTTTACTTGATGACAAGAATTTTGTTTGTTTCATTTTCAGGCATAATCTCTTATTATGTCTTTTGTATTGCAGAGGAATAGAAATGGTTGATAGTTCCCGATGTTTCAATTGTGGTTCCTATGGCCACGCGTTGAAAGAATGCCCTAAGCCTCGTGATAATGCAGCTGTTAATAGTGCCCGTAAACAGCACAAGTCCAGAAGGAATCAAAGTGCCAGTTCTCGCAATCCAACTCGATATTATCAAGATTCTCCGAGGGGAAAGTATGATGGTTTAAGACCAGGTGCCCTGGATTCGGAAACCCGAAAACTTTTGGGCCTTGGGGTGAGATTATGTTCTGAATTAGCTTCTCATGTGATCAATGATTTTACGTGTTCTGAACTGTTTTTAGTTTTTGATCCAATGCAATTCATTCTAGTTTTAGTGGTAAGACACTGGTAGCATGGTATCTTGATTTTTCTCATCAACACTTTTCTTTTCATTTTTCAGGAGCTTGATCCACCTCCCTGGATTAATAGAATGAGGCAAATGGGATATCCACCAGGATATTTGGGTAAATAATCATATCGCGCATGCCTGTTTATATTTTGTTGGTATTCTAGTTATATATTCTTAGCTTTTTGTCAAGGTGTAGTATCTGACCTCTGGTTAAACATGAGCCTTTTAATAACTAAATGAGTAAGTTAGGCCTAAATTAGTGAGCACCCTACTCTCTCTTCCCGTACTAGTATTCATCTTTACCCCCAGTTTTTTGTACATACCAACTTTCTTTGGTTTTGCTTCCAGAGAACAGAATGCTATTTTCAATTTATTCAATAGCTATTGTTGAATCTACTCATAGTTTTGCAATTTACATGACATTTTTAGAAGACGACGAGGATCAACCCTCAGGAATCACAATATTTGCTGATGAGAAAAATAAGGAAGAAACAGAGGAAGGGGAAATTCTTGATAAAAGCCTTCCAAACCTGCCCAGGAAGATGACCGTTGATTTTCCAGGTGTAAATGCCCCAATACCTGAACATGCTGATGAAAGACGTTGGGAAGCTGCGCCTTCGAGTTCGCGTTATTCGAGAAGTCATTCACACAACCGTTATAACCATGCACAAGACTATGTCAACAGAGGGCATTATCATGAACAGCGTCGGTCTAGGGATTTTGAAGATGACGGACCTCCTGGTTGTGATCCTAGAACTAGCCCCTTGTTGTCAACCTATTCTTACAGATATGGGGCTTATGACCCACGATATTCATCTCATAGCCCAAGGGACAGTGCTTCAATGCCAAGAAGCCATAGCTTTGGAAGATCCTTGTCAGAGAGAGAGAGGAGAAACCCAATCGTCAAAGAAGGTTCCTATCACCACAGTTTCTATGGTTCCCCTAGGTAAACTCTGTCTAGACAATCTGATTGAATGAAGGATCTGTACTCTGATTCAGCATTCTCTTCGCCATCATTCCGTCCAGTTTAATGGCATATTTAAAGATGTACCTATTATCTCTGTATTCCCCCTGCAAGTTATTGAAATGTTGTACATGAGCTAAGTTCTTATAGGAGTTGCTAAACTGGAACTGCTGATCTGTTGATGTTATGTAAAATAGCGGGAGTATGATTTTCTTTCAAGTTTGTTGATACAGTTTTACGCCTTTTGGCATTGAACGTGCTTGGTCAAGTACTATAACTTACTTCTTTTGAGGCTTCAACTTAGACCAAGACTTGATTAATTGCTCAATCAATGGTTAGATTTGTCAGCAAAATGATGAGAGTTCCATGGGGTTCTTTGTTCATCTTTGTTGTCGTAAGAAGGGATAACCCTTATGCAGTCTCAGATTTAGTTCATTTTGGAATACGCACTAGGTTATCAAATAAAAATGAGGCATTTTCAAACAAATGCCTTTTTGGGCAAGAGCTAAATCTTACTGCTATAGTTATCAAAAAAATACGTTGAACTTTTGTGCTGGGGGTGGGTGTTCAGTTTTTCGGTTTGTTTTTTTGAGGGTGTTCAGTTTTTCGGTTTGTTTTTTATCAAAATTAGTTCAAGTTTGGTAAGTTGGGAAGTGTAGGCCTGATGCTGGTTGGAGCAGCTATATACAGCAATACAACCTATACCTACAACTATATATTATAAACACAAATACATAATGATTGCTTGCTTTTGTTGACAGACCATAATATGGTCCTTTTAAGTTATTACCATTGGTGCCAACATACATAGCTTATCACCTGTCAAAATTTTATGTATGTCGTTGTCAATTGGAACCCTCAATTTTGAACTAATTAAAGTTCCCTATATTACATTCCATAAATCTACTATTACTACTCTCTCTGTTTTTTTTAAAAAAAAAAGGAAATACATTTTTTTTTTTAGTTTTTTTAAAGGAATGATCAATTTCCTCTTTCGTAATATTTAATTTTAATTTTACATATGATATGTTTAAGACCGCAAAATTAAAAGACATTTTATGTACATTTGACATACCTGTAATTAGGATCACAATTTGAAAAGTTTTCCTTATTTTCTTTATCTTCATGTCAAGTCAAATTAAGTCATTCGTTCTTAAATGGAGGGAGTAATATAATAAGTAAATTACTAGTGATACAATTCTAAATTAATTTATATTAGATTAAATTTGTGGGGAAACTAAGCAAATACCCCTAAAAACAAAATAATTACAAACACATACCCTTTACACTCATACCCCCACTAAATAATTACATTATATACCCACCAATTAATTTCGCTTAACTGATATTAAATAAATATCATATATTGTATTTATATCATTAAGGCTGCTAATTTCGCTTAACTGACATATACTGCATTGGTATGATTAAGACAAATAATTTTGCTTAACTGATAACAAATCAATATATGTATAAAATGTATTGATATCTTTAAGGTATGTTGTTTCCCTGTCATGTATTTACGTCGTCTAGAAAGGTTCTACCCGTCGCTCGATAGAAATTATATTTCAAGGCGGTCACTGCGACACTTCCGTCGTCGTGATGACTTAGCCAACGACACGTGCCCTTGGGGCCCTACTGCGGGTCGGCAAGTGGACGCGGGGCACATGCATTGCTTCTAACCCGAATTTTGACTTAGAGGCGTCCAGTCATAAATGAGTAGTTTCTAAACAAGAAACCTTAATGATCTCATTAAATATTTATATTTATATAGACTCTTATGGTATCATTAACTAATGAGTAGTTTTTGAACAAGTAACCCTAATGATATCACAATAATAGACATAAACTTTTATAATATCATTGATTAATGAGTAATTTCTGAACGAGAAACCTTAATGATATCAATACTATATATACTATTTAGTATCAAGTTAAGAGAAATTATCAGTCGTAATGATACTAATACAATATATGATATTGCTTTGTTATCAGTTAAGCTAAAATTATTGGCCTTAATCATACCAATACAAAATATGATATTGATTTAGTATCAGTTAAGTGGAAATTGGGTTGTAATTATTTATGAGAAAATGGGTATTTCAGAAATTACTTTGGATTTGGATATGAACTTGGTTAATTACTTGAATGGATCCTTTTTTAAGAATAATTACTTAATTTATGTATACTTTTCAATTATTACCATTTATAGCAATATATAATAATATTATATATTTTATTAAGCTTGTCTTTCTCTGTCGCCTCATTTTTTTTGTCGCCTTTTTTAATTACTCACTCTTTCTCTGTCTCTCTTTCTTCCTTTCTTTATGTTTGTTGTTATTTTATTTTTGCTTTCTTTTTTGTTGCTCTTTCTTTCTCTCCTTTGTGTTGCTCTTTTTTTCATAGATAGTCAATGATTCTAAGCTGAATAAATGTAACGACCCTCTTAGTCATTTTATGAATGTTATTCTTTTTTTCTATTTAACTCAATTTTATAGTTTTATATATAATTTATGACTTGTGAGGGTAAGTGGGATGATTTTAAATTAAATAAATGAGTATATAATAATTAATTAACTAAATAAAATAAAATAAGGGCAAGGCCTTATATGGTTGAAAGCCAGAAACTGACGAAGGAACAACAGAAAAATAAATACTCAGAAGGAAAAGGAAAAGAAAGAGAGGCAGAAAAACTTACCTGTAAAATAAAGGAGCCGCAGGTCAAGATCAGGTAAAACTACATCTTAAATCTTAAAGGTTTGTTGGAATGTAAAATTGTTAAGATAAAGAGGTGTATATAGAAAGTATAAATTGTCTACCGATCTGGAGGCTTTTATTATTTAACTATTGGATTAATGTTTAGATTTCTTAAATATTTTTCTCGTTACTTTAGTCATATGGGTGGTAGCAAATTTCTGACAGGTATAAACTAGTGGGAAAAATCATGAAAGCAATTAATAATTGATAATTATGCACAAGTAGGGTTCTGCATATTTTTATAATTTTTTTATGCAACTTAAGTATGGGTCATGTGTGAATTAAGCAAAACGTGGTTACTTTCTTTAGTTATCGCCTAGAAATTCAATGTGTTGAAATATTAAGATAAGAAATCAAGTACTAGGTGAATTATATTCCCTGAATGCCAATTGTTTTTTTCTTATGTGGAGGAATTGGAACTTAACCCTAGGCATGAAACTTGAAAAAAATATGATAGTTGAAATGTTAGTTGGCATCAAGAATTATGAACTTGATTATAAATCTGGGTGAATTTTTTTAATCAAGGTTAAACACATAGTAATGTGGGTGTTGTTAGTTCTGAAACCTTATTGTGAATATATATATTTGAATAGATCCCATTGATTCGGAAGCTCAACAGAAAGGAGAGACTCAAGTCCTAGAGTGATTATTCGATTGACAAAGGCAAGTGGATTTCTAAACCCTTGTTAAGCGTATGAAATTCGTGTATTTCCTTGTGTGGTATTGAGAATGACTTGGAGACTTGTTGCTTATTTGTTGGTGTTGTATTCCTGGTTGTAAATTGTGCTTTTTTATCAAAATGGTTCTCTCCTCATTTTCAATTGAGCATGTCATTTGCATTGTATCTGAGACATGGTAGTGGTGAGAGGATGTACCATTTCGAGGGTCGTATCGCGCACTGCGATGGATATTATATTTCGAGGGACGTATCGCGCGCTGCGGAGGTTACTATTATCGAGGGTCGTGTCGTGCGCCGCGACAGATGCATGGATAGATATGTCCCCATGGGTCCCGGACTGAGAGACAGCGGGTGTGTATCGTTAAGAAAGACATGCATCACTATATTTGACATTGCATCTCATGGCATTGCACATTTCATTATTGATGAACTTGAACACGTGTTTTGCTGATCTTGTGATTGTTTCTTTGAAAAGCTTGTGATTGTTGAATATTGAGTTGTTATTGAGAATGTGTAAACTGATAGAGTGTGGCTATTGAGTTGTGTGTTTGGTGAACTGTAAATTGTTAGGCTGTAGCGTGGAGGTTTAGATAGGGTGTAAGGAGTACCCGTATTTTGTTCACTTAACTTGTGTTTAGAGGTTTGTTTGTTGGGTACCGCGTGGTTTGGTACTCACCCCTTGCTTCTACAAATTTTTGTTGGTTACGAGCCTGGATCTTCGTGATACCTGTCATTCTTTTCGTTCCTGAGGCATCTTGCGGAGGATTGTGAGGTAGCTGCTTGCCATCTCAGCGAACTTTCCTACTCCAGTTTATGACTTTGTTTTTACTTGAAAGACAACTTCATTTTAGACTTCTATTTTATTTCAATTCTAATATTTACATTAGAGGCTTGTGTACGTGACAAACCTGGTTTTGGGAATTGAATTAATATGAGTTGGTTTCATAATAGAAATTGTTGTTGGATTGTCATTTACTTTCGCACTTTGTTAGATATTGGATTTTAGGCTGACTTGTCTTGGTGGGATAAGACAAGTGCCATCACACCTATTTTTGGGTCGTGACAATAAAATTTGTATCAATGATTAATTAGAGAAGTAAACTAATTTTAACAAATGAAGAGCCATAATAAATTACAAAATGAATTAAACTTTAATTAAAATGTATTACACACATATTAAAGTTGAATTAGAAGAGAATAAACATGAATGCAAAATGTAGTAGATGAAAGATCATTTTTTGATGTGTAAACTGAATAAAACCTGTATCAATAATGAATTAAACAAGTAATCCAATTGTAACAAATCAACCAAGAAATTGCAAAATGAATTAAACTTGTATTAAAAAGTGTATTATACAAATATTAAAGATGAATTAGAAGCGAGAATTAAGAATGAATAAAAAAGGTAACTAATGAAAGACGAGATAATGGTCTATAGAATGAATCAAACTTGTATTAATAATGAATTAAACAAATATTTAATAGTAACAAATAAATCAAAAGGCAGCAAAATGAATTAAATTTGCATTATACAATGTTAAAGTTAAGTTACAAGAGAGAATCAAGAATGAATGAAAAACGTAACTAACGAATGACAAGACAATGATCTATAAATTGAATTAAACGTATATTATTGTTCATGAATAAAACATATAATATATGTGTGATGCATCTTATAAATTAATTTTAATTTATATCATTAAGAAAGAGGGTGTTTGTAACATTTATTAAATATGTGTTGTGCATGTATTATAAATATATTATAAGTGAAATACCTAAATTATTTTAATTGGTATCACCAGAAAGATGATATATTTGAAATAAGTATTATAAATGTATTGCTCATGATTTTAGTTCAATTTT